GCAGACCACGTGGGATTTGCGATGGACAGAGTGGCACTGATATAGGTTTTTCTCCGAGTGCCTCGGTTTTCTCGTATAAGTTTTATTCTGCCGCTGCTCCACATTTATATGTCATTTGGGGGGGACGTACAATGGACCCATTAGAGACCCAGTTCCACAGACACATAGTCTCATCCCATCACAACAATAACAACCGCCCTGAAGATGGAGGCAGTAAGCAGCTCCAAAACGTCGGTCAATTTCTACCAGACTATATGGCGAAACATTCTATTAGACAGGTATCTGCAATAACAATGTAAGATGACACCATAACGATTCAAAAACTATGAGCCAAATTGCCAAGTGAACAAAGTCGGCAGAATACAACACTCTTCTACACAGTATTGAAAGATTCTGACACATTATCTTGACAATCTCTCAATATACCATATAACAATTAAATCTTTTCACTTATATCAAATGAATCGAAGATAAACGTTTTCGATAAAAAAAAAGCTTCAACAGAATTAGCATATTTTCTGAAATATTTGTCACAATACAAGATCGTACACCTAAAACTCTCTCTTCCAGATTTCCTCTCACACTTTTCTGCTAAACGTAAAAGCTCCCGCAAAGAAAATAATCTTTGCTTTAATCATTTAACCAAAAATCTGATAAAGATAAAATTAAGTTCATACCTACAATAAACATGACGCTTCTCCATTACAAAGTTTACTTGTTCCGTGCTGTTTAAGGAAGTGATAGCTGTTTGTCCTGAGAACGTTATTATCCTCAGTCCCTCCGGACAAATGCCAAGACCGATTAATGTTGTCGTGGTGGAACGGAATACAATTTCCGAGATTGTTTATTAGCTACTCCTATCACCCGACGCTATGTAGTTTATGCTAGTGACAGAATTATAGTGGACTGTAAAAGTAAATACTCTCATTGAACAAACTAGCTGTAAGTCACAAGTAAAACTTTAGACCTAAACCAGCTCTACTGGAAACAGCAACTAAATCGAGAAGTACAATACTGAAATATGAACCCAAAGACAGAGACGATGCTAGAATGACCTGACGCACACTGAGAAACAGCAGGGTGTTTTATAGGCCTCCTCCTAAATAATTTAGAAACCGTCTGTAGTCTGAACTGTGCGCAGATGTTTCTTTGGTCTGTAATTCATTCAGTGACTCCTTTGTTATACGTGACTGCATCATGAAAGTTTTAAGTCCACAAAACAACTTTCCAGAAGCTATATGGGAAACTGGTGATGAAGAGATTCCAGAACTTTGAATCTATTGAAATCTCTATTCTTCAAAGTACAATTTCATTCCTACTGCTGCTATGTTCCAGCCATTCAGCTCTTTACAATGAATTTCAGC